CACAAAGCAGGCCACACCTACAGAAGAGGTTCTAAAAAATTTTGAAACCCACCACTGGTGTGGGGACAAGATCATGGACTTTCAACTGGGTGGAAAACCCAGGAAGCTTTCAGATTCGGGTTTTCCACAGATGTGCCAACATCTCTCTCTTCATAAATTGGAAGTTTGAGGAAAGATCTGCCTTGAACTCTGATTTAATTTTGGATGATATTTGGAATGCTGACATCATGTTTATTTCCAAGAATGCTTCCCACCAAAGTCTCACTGAACCTAGTGAGATCTTGAGTGAAAATAAAAAATAGAAGATTGCTCCAGAACTTGCCCAGAAATAAAACAAGCTGGTGGGAAACATGTTTTGGATCAAGTGGAAATTCTTGGATTGGACACCTCTGCTGATTGGAACAATTTCATGGGAGTTCTTGTGAGATGCTTTCAAAGTTCTAAAGCTACCTACTAGTCCCAAAAGTTTAGAGACTCTAAAATAGAATCACAAAAACATGTATTTCCTGATCACAAAATTTTAATACTAAACTTTGCTCACAACATTTACATTTGTTTTCCATTCAGAATCAATTCAGAAGTATTTTTTTAGAGATTTTCCGGGGCTGGCCTTCACATTCACATTAAAAAAAAGAAGAAAGGTAAAGGTTTCCCTTGTTTAAATGTCCAGTCATGTCTTACCCTAAGGGGCAGCACTCATCTCTGTTTCCTAACGGAGGGAACCAGCATTTCCGTGGTCATGTGACTGGCATGACTATATGGCAATGTGTATGGAATGCTGTTACCTTCCCATGGAACTGGTACCTATTTGTCTACTTGCATGCATATCAGTGGTGGGATTCAAATAGCAATAGCAATAGCAATAGCAGTTCGACTGCTTTCAGCCCTCTCTAAGTGGTTTACAGCATCAGCATATCACCCCCATAGTCTGGGTCCTCATTTCACCCACCTCGGAAGGATGGAAGCCTGAGATTAGAACCGCTGAACTGCAGATAACAGTCAGCTGAAGTGGCCTGCAGTACTGCACCCTGCGCCACCTCGGCTCTTGATAATTTAACAACCAGTTCTCTGCCCTTATGACCAGCTGGGTAGGCAGGACTTGGTGGTCATGTGACTTGAGGGTCATGGCCAACTCAACGTCACTCGCGTCGATGGGCACTTCGCCTTAGCTTTTACAATGTCATAAGGGTTAACACGAGAGGCAGTTTCTAGAAGCAGGGTAGAAACAACACCAGAGTGTTTCCGTCCTGCCTTCTTTACAGGATTAGCCCTGTGAAGTGGAAAAAAACAAAAGGAGATTTCTTCCAACAGCCAGTTCTCTGAACTGCTTAGAAAGTTAACGACCAGTTCTCCTGGATAGGTGCGAACTGGCTGAATCCCACCATTGATGCACATGGTTTTGAACAGCTAGGTTGACAAAAGCTGGGGCAAGTATGGGAGCTCATCCCATCCTTGAGTCTTGAACTGCCAACCTTCAGGTCAACAAGCCCAAAATCTTAATCCCTAGGCTACCGTGCCCCACGTTCACTTAGCTTGTCTCTATCCCTGTGCCACCATGACCATTCCCATCTGTTGCAATAGCAGCAGTTTTTTGGGCATTCATTCTTCCAAAACTCCTTGAGTGCAAAATAGTGTTGGTGCTGAAGTGAATGCTAAGCATTACATGCATATTCATCATTGCTGCAGAAACGAAAGGATGAAGGAAAACCAGAGAGGGAGATACGGTAATCTGGGATTAATAAACTGACCTTGTATCCCATGACGTCTGATTCATTGGCTAAAGGCTTTACAGGCTCCCATCCCAGGGAAATATGGGGACCATCTTGAACCCACATAATGTTTGGTGCTTGACTAGGTGCTGAAAAATAAGTTGGAAAAAAAAACCACATTAGAGGATTTTGAAGTTGTTTTTTTTTTAAGAGCCACAGGGAGGGGGGAAGGCAAGAAGAAAATTTAACCACTTGCTCCAAATTTAACAGCTACTGGTGAATTGTTACATTTCCTTTTGCTGTTGCAGGTAAAAAAAACACATCATCTAGCTTTGTTTTCCAGAAAGATAATTATTTGTTGCTCACAAATAACAATAATAACTACGTATATTCTTTTTCTTTTTAAAAGAATTCATGTCCCTTGAAATGGGATTATGGATTATGCTAACAACAAGCCAAGAGTCATTTTCTTGGTCTCGCTATTTAGTAGGTGGCTAAAGAAATGAGAGAGAAAAAGGAGAATTGGAAGGCAAAGATTGGTAGCCTACGAGATTTCTTAGTGGCCACATGGACAATGTTGCTTGGTGGTCCATAGCCTGCTGAGTTGTATGCCTTCACTCTCAGGTGGTACAAGGTGTTGCCTTCTAGCCCTGTGAGAATGACAGAGGACTCATTCCCTTCTGACCTGGCCTTCTCAGCTGCTTCTTCTTCTTCCATATCTTTCCAGTAGCCAACCTGCCAATGAAAGACAAATGAGTTGAGTAGAGATCATTTCTAAAATGCTCCTTCGCACTTAGGGTTACTTTTCATTCTTGGATGAGAAACGAAATGTCTTCAAAGAAAAAAAAAAAAGAGAGGCCAATTGCCTCCTGAAAAAGCACCTTTGGGAACAACCATGACCTGGATGACTGGGAATCTCTATGGATTTATAGCCTATGTTAACATATAACCATATTCTTTAAAATAGACCTTCAGTCTTAGGAGGATTTTTTTTTTTTGATGGAACCTGACAAATTGATCAAGAGGTAAATGTAGTCAGTGGTGAATTTGTATGCCTAGTTTATGGTTGCCATCCTCACTATTGACTTCTGTCTATCCAAGCTGACAACAGAAGGGAATCAGGTGGTATTTCTCAAATAATTTATTTTTATTCAGGGGCTATCAGTTGTTGACCCTCAGTTGTTGACCCTGACTGCAAGCAGCTTTTTTCATCTTTCCATATCTCCTGTCCAGATATGTGAGTGCTCTAGTTCTCAGAAGCAGAAAGTTGTACTCCAAACATATCTAGAAGATAAGGTTGAGCAAACAAACAAACAAATAAATCCAAATGTGTAAGATACAATAAGACAATATTTCACTTATAGCAAGAAGCATTTGAAGCTGAATGATTTAATATCTGTACCCAAATCTATAAAGTGCAACTATCTGCATCTCCCCCACTCTCTTATGTATGTCATCTATCTATCTATCTATCTATCTATCTATCTATCTATCTATCTATCTATCTATCTATCTATCTATCTATCTATCTATCTATCTATCTAT